GGGGTGCAGGGTATAGTCTATTACAGAGGTGCAGGGTACAGTCTACTACAGGGGTGCAGGGTACAGTCTATGATGGGGGTGCAGGATACAGTCTATGATGGGGGTGAAGTATGAATCTGATATGGGGTTGGGGTGTTGTACATGGCCCGGTGTATTTCCCCCGCTCGGAGAGGAGGGTACTGGGCAGGTGATGTGGGGGTGCGGTATAATAAGGGGGTGCAGTGCACAGCATGTAATGGGGTGTAGTACATGGCTCACCCGCTCGTAAAACCGGGTACCGGTTGAAGCCGTTGTGAAGCAAGGCGCTCACGTAGCCTAGGATACCCAGCTGGACGGAGCCCCTGTTTAAAAGTGCGGGGGGAGGCAGGACCCGACCCTCGTCCGGAATCAGTCCCATCGTTCTATTTTCCAAGGACACCGGGGGACACCAATCAAGAACGGACGAGAGTCACAATCATAACCCTTCCCCCGGCAACACATACTCAAAATAAAAGTTCCGTCTGACTCTGCCTCTTCCGGTCCCCGCACACTATACACAACTCGGTCCATATCCGGAGAGCCCTTCCCTCACCTGGCACAGTGTCCGCACCTTATCTAACCCTGAACATCGCCACCCAAACATAACATGTCCTTATTAGAAACATTAACCTAAATACAGCGGTTAAGCTATATACACCCTGGGGGGAATTTATCAAAACTGGAGCACGCACAATCTGGAGCAGTTGCCCATAGCAACCAAACAGCTTCTCTCTTGTGTTTGTTTAGTTAAGCTTTGGAAATGAAAGAGAGACGCTGATTGGTTACCACGAGCAACTGATCCAGATTATGTCTGCTCCAGTTTTGATAAATTGCCCTTTTATATATGCCAATAAAGGTCCTTCAAAGGGTGAAAAAAGGGGGGAAAAGTCCCCCAGATTTTGGTTCAGATCCACTACATTATTTGGGATTTCTATTATGTTTGCATTAAAAAATAAAAATGGCAGAATAAAGCGACTCTATGACTAGATTGAGGTGTTTATTAAAAAAAACATCCGTGCAAAAAGAGGAAACGTCATTTCAAGCCTGATGAAGGGGACCCTGTGTGGCCCCCGAAACGCTGCTATTTGTTTTGACATGAAGCGTCAATAAACAGACGTGTTCTTCACTACAATATGGTGTAGTTTGGGTATTGGTGGCACCATCCGCAGTCACTTCGAGCACCCACGCTGACAGGGATAGTCGGTAAGGAGTGCAGCAGGATTCTGGAATACATATATTAAAAAACATCCGTGCAAAAAGAGGAAACGTAATTCTTAGTTGTCCCGCCGCCATAGGGAGATCCCGCTCCAAAGTCTGGGACCATTGTACTCACTGGCTCCTCCCACTGGTCCCCCATAGTGATGTGGGGGTCAGCAGGGGGAACTTCTACAGATACAGCATGCAACAATGCGAGCAGAGAGCGAGGTAAATATTTTGTTTCTCCATTAGCAGGGACACCTTTGGGTCTGATTCCAGCCTAGCGTCACCACCCGGCCCCCTGTCCGTTAGTCCAAGACCAGGCGCCGTCTGTGACCGCTGTGTCTCAGTGCCGTGGGTGCGTAATCGAGGGCGCTCCTGGCACAAAAGCATTCGGCATGTATGCGGCTCCATTGAAGAAATCCAACCTCCTTGCTGCCGCACATATGTGCAAAGGGTGCATGGATTTTAGGGATGCACCTATACCGATTTTTTTCGGTACCGATATTTTTTCGATACCGAATACCTACACCAGAAGTCCCAGTAGGGAAGGCTGGCGGCATGTAATGACTTGCCACCCTGCTTCCTGATTGGCTGGGAAGCCACCCATGCTCCAAGGGAGCATGGAGCGGCTTCCCGGCCAATTAGGAAGCCGGGCGGCGTGTAATGACTCGCCGCCTGGCTTTCTGATACCGGAAGTTCCGGTATCGAGAGTATTTGGGTGAGTACTCGGCCAAATACTCTTTATCGGCAGCGATACCAGTATCAGTATTGGTGCATCCCTAATGGATTTAATTGCATTTAGTACTATGCAATGACATGTCCATTGACAGTTGTCTAAGATGGCATTTCCTTCACCTTGGAGAGATTTCCTAGTGCTCTCTGTTGTGTCTATGCGACAGGTAGTAAAGAAAAATCTCCTGCATGGGGCACAGGAAACCTGCTGGGGTTATCACTCACCACTCTACCCAGTATGAAAGATTGGGCTTTTAGGTATACTTCAATAAACATGTAGAACTTTATATTTCTCACACATACAGCAGTAATCTCAAACACATGTGTAGAACTGAAGCCAAACCTTTTTTTCTTTAGTTTTGGATAGAATTCCAACAAGGGAAACAAAGTCCTCCCTGACCCCCTAAGACAAAGGCAAGTTGGTTTTTGGCCAGGACGCTGTCATGTTGGTAAGTAAGGGCTCCCGCACACGGGGCTCTGCTTGTGTCTGAGCTACTTTTCTCTTCCATAGAAGTCAATGTAGAGCCTGAAGCAGCTTATATGCCCAGGGCTTATTTGCTGTATTTGCTTATGCGCTGGGCTTTATATTATATACTACCTAAATAAGTACTAGGGATGCACCGATACCGGTAGGACTGATACAGGTACGAGTACCGATATATGTATACTTCGCTACTTGCCGATACCGATTACCGATACTGGTACTTCCGCTAGCATGGAGCCGGCTTCCCAGGGCAATCAGGAAGCCGGGTGGTGTGTCATTGTCTGGGAAGCCGGCTCCATTTTGTTTGGCCGGCTTCCCAGCTAATCAGCATCGATCCGGCTTCCCGGCCAATCTGGGAGCCGGGAGGCATGTCATTACCCGCTGCCCGGCTTTCTGATTGGCCGGGAAGCTGTCTCCCTGCTGTTTGGCCGGCTGATAGGCTGGGAGGCATCAGAAATCGGGCCGGCTTCCAGGCCAGTGAGGAAGCTGGATGGCAACTCACTACCCGCTGCCCGGTTTCCTGATTGGCCGGGAAGCCGGCTCCATGTTCCCTCATGGCACTGCTGGTCAGAGGAAATCGCCCTCTGACCGGAAATTCCAGTATCAGGGGTATCGCAGCATTTGGGTGAGTACGAGTACCCGCCCCAAATACTAAGTATCGGCACAGATACTAGTATTGGTATCGGTGCATCCCTAATAAATACCTACTGTAATTTACATGCACTCTAATATGGCAACCTGGAGACTTTCTGTACTGAACACCCCAGAATTGGAATGTTCTTGCTTCTGTGATTTCCATATGGCTTGTCTACTAACAGGATGCTGACACTGCAGATTTCCTATTTAGAACACTGAGAATGTTCTCAGTGGTTATAATGAAGGCTTACCCTTTCATTCAGAAATCAGTCTGGAAAGGACTGATTTCTGAATGTGAGACACACACAAAAAAAAGGTCTAAAGCTTCAACAAACTTAGTTACAATACCTGCAATGCAGAATTTTGTTTTTTTTCACAAAAGTGGAATTACACTTTACAGGCCCTGTATACAGCTTGGGCTTAGGATTATGTGCCCTACCTAGGCTCAAAAAAACCTTAACCCTTGCAGTGCAGGGGTAGCCCCACTGCAGCGGCTAATAAAACATATTCCTGAAGTTCTTCTATAATAATATGAATAAAATATCAGTTTGTAAACTTATCGTAAACAATTATAATAAACAACAACAAAAATTCTGTTTCCCTTCAATACTAGATAACGCAGTCTGCCAAAAATCATGCTGGCAGTGCTGGGCTGTCCTACTGTGCACTGCTGGGCTTTGGAAACTCAGTGTTATAGCTGTAATACATACTTCTTTGTAGGGCTGGTAATGATTAACATTTTCGTGTTCCATTAATCAAATTTTTTTTTAATCTATTAATTTCGATTAATTATAAACGCACATACAGATCCAACTACATTGGCCTATACACATACAGCACAGCAATGAAGTAATACAATGAACTAGGATCACACTAATCCAGCACGTTATTAATCTCACGTGCCCCACTCAATATGGCCGCCGCTTGAGTGGGGCAACTCAGAATAATAACGTGCTGGATTAGTGTGATCCTAGTTCATTTTATGACTTCATTGCTGTGCTGTATGTGTATAGGCCGATGCCTTGGCTGGCGCTCGTGCAGAAAGTTCCTTGGGCAAACTCACCGGCCCAAGTGGCTCCGTCGGCTAACGAGGAGTCCGGTGACGTCACGGACATCGACGTCACTGGACTCCTCCCCCTTCCCTTCGTTAGCTGTCACGGACATCGACGTCACCGGACTCCTCCGCCTTCCCTTCGTTAGCCGACGGAGCCACTTGGGGAAGGGGGGAGGAGTCCGGTGACGTCGATGTCCGTGACGTCACCGGATCGCCGACGGGACTCCCGGAAGCCGGCGGAGAGGTGAGTGTTTTCATTAGCGATCAAAATAATTTTAATCGATCAAAAAGTTTAACGATTAATCGAGAAATTAATCTTTAATTTCCACAGCCCACCTTCTTTGTAAGACATAAAAGCCTTATATACAAACAATTTAATAATATGCATAAAATATCAGTTTGCAAATACAGTGAGGAGAATTTATCAAAACTGGAGCAGACAAAGTCTGGAGTAGATGTGCATGGCAACCAATCAGCATCCACCTTTCATTTTCAAACCTTAACTGAACAAACTGAAGAAAGAAGCTGATTGGTTGCCATAGGCAACTGCTCCAGATTCTTCTGCTCCAGTATTGATAAATTCCCCCCAGTATATTCACACTGATCAGCCATAACATTATGACCACCCGCCCAATATTGAGTAGGTCCCCCTTTTCCTGACCCGTTGAGGCATGGACTCCACTAGACCTCTGAAGGTATGCTGTGGTATCTTGCACCAATCCGTCAGTAGCAGATCCTTTAAGTCCTGTAAGTTGTGAGGTGATCGGCCTCCATGGATCGGACTTGTTTTTCCAGCACATCCCACAGATGATCCATTGGATTGAGATCTGGAGAATTTGGAGGACAAGTCATCACCTCAAACTCATTGTTGTGTTCCTCAAACTATTCTTGAACCATTGTTGCAGTGTGGCAGGGCTCATTATCCTGCTGAAAGAGACCACTGCCATCAGGGAATAACGTTTCCATGAAGGGGTGTACTTGCTCAGGATGTTTAGGTCGGTGGTACGTGTCAAAGTAACATCCACATGAATGGCAGAACCCGAGGTTTCCCAGCAGAACATTGCCCAAAGCATCACATTGCCTCTGCTGGCCTGGCTTCTCCCTATAGTGCATCCTGGTGCCATCTCCTCCCCAGGTAAGTGACACACACGCACCCGGCCATCCACATGATGTAAAAGAGAATGTGATTTATCAGACCAGTCCACCTTCTTATATTGCTCCGCGGTCCAGTTCAGATGCTCCCATGCCCATTGTAGGATTGGACTACAAAGGCCAGCCTTCGCTCCCCACATGCATTAATGAGCCTTGGCTTCCCATGACCC